GCAAGTCACCTGGTCAGAGGCCAATCTCTATGTTTCCTGCTGGCTGCCCTCAGGTGACAAATCCCATTCTTTGGGTGTGTCCATAGCCTATTGAGAGTCATTGTTCCACAGGGCTTTGCTACTCAGCCTGTCCATAGCCATGCTTAACCACATTCAGAGAAATATTCAGCTTCCACACAGATTACAGATTCCTACCTACACACACAGACATTATACACTCACATAAATAGCGTACATAAGATCAGCAAACAATAAGCTCCCATTCAATACCCCACATGGCTCCCTTTTATACCAATTTCTGGGGCCAACACCCCCACCTAGCGGTGCAGCAGCGATCTGGCTGCTTCCCTCCAATTTGGTAGTGTGACAGATGGTACTTGGTCCTGCTGTGAAGGCAGGGGACTGGACTCGATGACCTTTCAAGGTCCCTTCCAGTTCTAGGAGATAGGCAATCTCCATTAATTGTCTCCTGGCTACTCATACAGGAGATGATATAGCAGGTCGCATCATTATGACCTCTCGCCATCACGATCCTCATACTGCTACAGGGACCCATATGACAAACGCACTTACTATAGATCGCATTCACCGTATAGTCATGTGTACCACCGATCTTCCAGGTCACCTACTAGGCCTAGGACGGGTGACTCTACTCTCCAGCCACCAATCCACTGGCTTTGCATAGTCCCTGTTCGCCATACTACCTCCCCCTTCCCATACTGAGGAAAACCAATGCTTTCAGCAATCATACTAACCCAAGAGTCATCGGCAGACCCTTCATCCTCTTCACCGGACGAGGCGGTGATACCAGGAGACATCTCGCCCCTGGATGACATTAGACAATTTCAATAATTATTTAAAAGTGTTGCCCTATCTCAGAACATCCAACTCGCTGAGATTCAGGGTAAGCACCATAAACTTTTCAAGAATTTGGGAACCTCTCAATCTCCTAAATTGGCCATTCCTCTTGACGAGGCAATTTTGGAAGTTGCTAATGAACTCTGGGCTACCCCTGCATCGGTTCCATCCACAAATAAGAAGGCAGACAAGAAATACTTTGTGCTGCCCAAATGCTCAGAGTTCCTTTTTACACATCCGTTGCCCAACTCCTTGGTGGTTGATGCGGCCAGACAACGAGCACGTGCTCCACGGTCCAGGAGCCAGCCCTCGGATAAAGACTCAAAAAGACTGGATCTCTTTGGGAGGAAAGTGTATATGTCAGCAACACTCCTTCGCGTAGCCAACTATTTGACTCATTTGTCAAATCATAATTTTGACAATTATTCTAAATTTTCAACCCTCATGGAATGCTTGCCTGAATCTAAGAGACCTATCCTGAAGGCATTGGTGCAGGCAGGATACGCCTCCACGAGAACCAGTCTACAAATAGCAGCAGATGTGGCAGACACTGTGGCTAGGGCCACTGCTACGGCAGTGGTCATGAGAAGAGCCTCATTTCTACAGGCAGCAGCAGTTCCTAGAGAACTGCAATCAAAGGTGGAGGATCTGCCTTTCGAAAA